TACTTTTATATCAAAATAAATATTTGTAGGTGTTAATAAACACAATAAATAACAAAATTAATTAATGTTATTAATGGGTAAGAAATCATAAAATTAGCAGGTCATATTTTGTGAACTCTCTTTCGAAAAGTTAGAAAAAAGAAATGGACTTGATTGAATGTAGAAAAATCAGTAATATAATTATTTTGAATTTCAATTTTTATAACATGATTTACTTATGAAGTTTTAATCATAATTTAATAGTGATTTCTAAAAGTGTATCTTTTATATTTAGAAACAAAATCATTTTTAAAAGACAAAAAATTTATACGAGGGCCACAGCGTTTTTAGAAATGTTAAGGTGGAGCGCGACTCGTAAATGGTTGGGAAACACTGGCCTATGGTAAAGCTCGTTATCATATCGAGGGTGTGCGTTGAGTTGTAAAAAAGTTAAAGTGTAAAGTTAGTCATGATTATTCGTTTTATAAAAATTAATTATTATTTGTCATTAATGTAATTGCAATGTGTAAAATTATATACAATCGAAAATAATAACTAATAATAACATATTGTTGATTATTATGAACGATGAACCTACTCATTATAATATAATTGAACTGAAGAATGCTTTAGAAAAGGTAATTTCTAGTCAGTAGATGTTAAATTTGGTATTTTTCTTCTATTATACTCTTCAAGTTTTAGCATATAAAAAGATTTATCATTATACAGTATTGTTTATTTGCAATATTTATGTAATAATAATATTACGATTCCGCTGGCTTATCTAAAAATGTGTGTATGCAAATAAAAGAAAGAATGGAGAAGACATGGAAATAGTTTCAATGTCTCTTGAACACCGATTATTTTTTATGCCATTTATGTAGTTTCACGTCAATATAAAATGTCATGTAAAAATGATTAATAAAAAGAACACGTTAGTACCGTGTATGAATTCATATACATATATGTGCATTTATGGGTATTTTTACGTGTGTAGTTATATGTACCTGTATGTACATTTGAATGTAAAGGCATTTGAAGTGGTAGCACTGGGTAACACAATTTACAAAAAAACATATCTCCTTGAATTATAATAATTTACAATCGAATGAAAATATATAATAATGTTTTTTTGTATATTTTTTTAAAAACATGTTTTAACTTTAAATGTATATTTTATATGTATATCGTGCCTTACGGCAAATTGGAATTTCCCGTACTATTATATTAAAATTTTTGAGAAAAAATTTTCTTTGAAAAAATTAGATTTTCGACAAAAATTGACTTTTTTGGAAAAAAAGATTTTTTGAAAAAAAAATGCTTTATTTAATATGAAATATTTTAGAAATTCTGAACTTTTTTCCAAAGCAATCGTACTGCTTTAGGTGCATAGGGATGAAATATCGAAGCGCGTAAGCGCCGCGTCGCAGTCTAACGGACAAACGATGTTACGGAACCTATTGAAATGTAAATAAAATTTATACGTATTATTAAAATCTATTAATAAAATACCTGATACTTTGATGTGTCTATGTCTAACGATCATTTTTGACCACCAAATGACTTTTTTTTACTTTTTGCCCTAGATCTTCGAAACCGCAAGACCTGCCTTTCCAAAAATTCAACCGGTTCTTTATCACATGTTTTTTGAATTAAAATTGGACGCTCCGCTCTCTTAAGTTACGGAGTTACCGTTTTTGGCACTTTTTGCACGGTATCTTTGAAACGGTTAGACCTGCCTGTGCCAAAAACTAATTAGCACGTCTCCTTATCAATAGAAATAAAATGTTGTTTGAATAATTTAAATCGTTTAAACCATGTTCCCGAAATTGTTGACGAAAATTTGTATCCGCACACACGCATACACACACACATACATCCATTTTTTCTAAGGTATGCCAAAATGTTCAGATACAACGTGTTCAACGTGAAGATATGCAAAAAATTTCATTTTCGATTTTTTGCAATTACTATAACTTACCCTACGAAAAGTTAAAAATAAAGAAATAAAAATCAATTACAACTGCTAGAATATTTCGTAAAATAAGCAAATTGCCTAGACTACTAACAAAAGCTTGTAAAAAAACTTCATAATTGCAAAACATTTCCTCTGTGGCAAGTCTTGCGTAAACTGGTTATTCCTTCTTATACCCCTTGTTTTATTTGTACGAAGATTATTCTATACGCCCGATACAAAGAGTCGTGTGTAGTATCTACACATAAGTTTTATTTTCCTTTTATTTTCATCTCGTTGCGAATCGTACTCGATCTTGACATTCTCGATGGCCGCGAATGCATTTTATGCCTTATAGCGCGACTATTTTAAAAAGTACCGCAGAACAGGTTCCCGGAACAAAGCGAGCGCAATAGCATCGTATGAAGATCAAGTGCAAGTGCAAGTACGACGCGGATCGATGCTGATATGCTGAATTGCTGATGCATGCGGGCCAATGTGGGATCAGGGAAACGTACTAAAACGAAGCGGACGGGACGGCGAAACTTCCTTAAGAAACTACGGAACGGGCCTTTTATGGCCACCGATAACTATCGCACTGCGAGTGTGCTATGGAGTCCATAGTATGGACTAGGGAATGCAATACCGGATACCGGTATACCGAATTACCGGTATTTATTCCAAAAATACCGCTATTTTCGGTATTTTTACATAAGCGCTAAAGTTTAAGTTTCTCGGAACAAATTTATCTTTAAATTCCATAATCGCATAAACAACTATATCTTTCAGTGATTCTAAGGATAAACAAATGTCAAATATTATCTCAACTAGTCATTAAACTGAATATTTATTGCTTTCCAAAAGGCTTCATTTCGTGCTACAATAAATAGAATTGGACTGAAAGATAATGATGTTTGTTTCATAACGGTTTTTCAAGTGATATTTGCGCCAAAATATTTTTTATCATAAAGATTACCCCTGCTTTATACATAATAATTATGATAATTACTAAATATTTTTGCTTCTTATTACAATTATAAAATATTATTTTTCGTAAACGTTTCGAAGTTTGAAAATACTATAGAAGCATCACATTGTTTTAAATAACAATACTCAGAAATTATAGTAACTTATTATTTATCTCGACAAAGTATCCGATCTTAGTGAACAAAAATTATATTTTTTTAAATTTTGGAGATTATGCTAATTTAACACATCGGATACAGACAATACAGTTTATTATAATAATGTGATATGATCTTTTATGAGTTTTTGGTCTTTCTTACTCATAAGTTTATTTTTGGTGAAAAGTACTCAATATACTCGATAGTGATAATGAATTAATTAAATTGGATATAATTTTGTTAAATATTTATTTAAAAAAATAAATTTATTGTTTTTTTTATTGTTTTTATTGTTTAGTTCAATATAGTTGCAGTCGTATATACATTTTTTTATATTTGTACTAGTAACTTTCAATTTTGTTTACGTTTGTTTAATATAATAAAAATACCGGTAATTTACCGGTATTTCGGTTTTAAAATGAAAAATTACCGAAATACCGGTATTGAAATTTTCCATCGGTATTGCATTTCCTAGTATGAACAAAGCAAAGTAATAGCACTAATTCCCTCGAAAATCATTTTGAATCAAATCAAACATAACATATATTTCCAATTGAACTTATTTGATTACACAATATAAAGAATTCGGCTTATTCAAATTGTAGTACAACGACGATTATCTTGTTTAATGTGCATCAATTTTGTGGAAGCCAAAATTCGACGTTTTCTTTTTCTCGGCGTTTTCTCATATACGCAAAAATTTAAAAGCCATTCGATGAAACCCGACAAAGACTCGCGTTGATTAGATTTGGCGGCGATCGTCTGAGCCGCTTTTTACAATTTGCATATAAACATAATTTTTATTGCCACATGAGTGCATATTTGCACATAAGTGCAAAATTCTAGACCGATTTTGAAAATTCAAGATTTGTTTGGAAAATATCAGTCGGAAATCGGACTGATTAGTTATTTTTGGCAAAGACCGGCTGTCTCTTCGTAATTAATTATTGAAAACAAAAATTTGACGACTATGATGAAACTTTGTATACAAAATATTATAGGCTTTCGATTTACTTTATAGGCTTATGTTTAATTATGAAAAATCATTAAAGATAAAAATAATGGGCTGCGAACTTAGTTCGTAGTTGAGTAGCCGAATGCTTACGATAACACATTACTATATACTATATAGTACTTTTCATTACTTTCAAATATTGTTGTTTACTTGTTTTTGAGATATCGATGGTGGATTTTTTCACCCGCGGAGCTTTAAGCTCCGCTCTATCATATATACTATCTATACTATCCGCTCTATCCTATATATACTATATAAAAGAGCCTAAAGGTCCGCAGGTAAAAAAATCCACCATCGATATCTCAAAAACAAGTAAAGTTAAGAATGTTTCAACAACAATATTTAAAAATTGGAAAAAGTGGGAAAATGGTGTATAACCAGCCAGCACCTTAAATCTCAAGACATCGCCATCGGGAGATAAACGACAAAGTTTGAAAACCCGTAACAAAAGTATTTTCTTCCGTTGCTAGTTTCTTTGGTTGTGAGTACTGTGATTTAGTTTACGAGACCTTAATATAATGTTTAAATACACATTATTTAATTGTTTTATAAGATTATTGTTATTATTGAGTTATATAAAATGGTTTTTTGTAACCTCTATAAGAGAACTTGCATGTGGGCGAGGTAAACAGGACCAACTGAACTTTTACCCTGGCAAAGGTGTAAACAATAAAAAAACAGTAAATACAAAAGTAAATTAAATTAAAAGAAAGTGTAAACAATAAAAAACAGTAAATAAAAAAGTAAATTAAGTTAAAAGAAGCAACTTAACAAGAAATAAATTAAATAAATAGTTATTCCAACTCTGCTGATGAATATTTCTGACGAAATACCAGATTACGGCTATATACAGTGTTATCTCGGTCAAAAATGTGCCTATTGCAAAATAAGACATTGGATCTGTTCTCCTCTGGCTGTACAATGTTACCTCGCATATGGGGTATAAAAGACCAGGTGACAAGTTTTTTAATAACAGCGAATAAAATGCATTTATACAATGATGGTTCAGCTGGAAGTTTAATGAACATAGTGTTGTGATAAAATTGGATTGGTATTTACAATATAATTGCTCAAAGTCAAGTTGGACACTTGTTCCCCGTCTAATCATTATTATTTACATATATAGGGATATTTATGCAACTTGCCTTAGGGCAAAATGCCACACATAGATCTAGTTATAATTTGCATACAAGAGTAAGAAAATATGTATAAATACCAGCTGCTCTATAATTTATTATGTGACCGTAGCTTATTTTGTATGCGTGCCGCATATTGAAAATTTGCAAGGCGCAAAAATATATGGAATTCGTACAGATATATATAGAACTTAAACAAACAACAATGTATATATTATTATAAATATTTTTTTCTTGTAATTATGGAAAAAAGTAATGCGGAAGCGATAAGAAATTCACATTGAAACAAATCATGAGGATTTCAATTTTTGAATAAATACAACCAGTTGTTTAAAAAAGAGATTTTGATCATATACGTTGCAGCCCAGAGAGAGTTTTTGATATGTTTTGCAATAAGCAATCAATCCGTAAAATAATATAAATTTGCAGTTATAAAAAAACATTTGCAAATATTTATTGTCACTTTGAATGTCAAATCTCAGTTTCTTAATATAATTTTGTAGCAGCCGTATAAATTCCACTATTTTTATAGTTATTTTTTATCATCTTATACATATTAAATAAAGATATGGAATTAGCTTACTTCGTTTTCAATTTTATATTATTCCTCATTTGCTATTAAAAAATCTTGCTTTTCGAAATTATTAAGCAAGTAAAAGCCAAGGAAGTAAATATAAATTTTATAATAACTATAATAATAAATATAAATTGCATAGAATTACATAGTTATTAAATAATTTTTTTTGTATTGCATAAAATAAAACATATAAGTTACACTAACAAACTAATGAAAGTAAACAAATTGAAAAATAGAATTTATTATTTATTATTTTATATATATAAATAATTCTACCATCAGTCCATAGCATAAGAAATAGTGATCATCCTAACGTATACATAACCCCGAGGATTTCCGAAAAACTACCATTATTAAAACTTGGTTTGCTAGACTAATAGTAAGTACATGCCCTAAACGTTTGTTTTTATGTTACCTAAATTAATATCACCAATATTGTAGTTTTTCCTAATATAAATTTAATATTTATAAAAATAAATAAATTTAATAACGCAATATTAATCATACCACAGAAATACCAAATTAAAGAGAGCAAGAAATGATCAGAACCTGACAAAACTTTTTATCAAAAACTATTTTTGAAAGTTGAATAGGTTTAAAAAAATTACACGTACATGAATCGACGTGCTTTAAATTTTTTTTTCTTTCATGACATTCACTTCGTCAGTTTTCAAATATTTATTCATTATTGAAAAGTTTTCCATGCGAACTTGTCTTTTTGCCAGGATAAGGTATACCTAGCCCGGCAACTTCCGAAGGCGAAACGCCAGCTATTGCTGTGGCCACCGGCTTCGCCACGGCCAAACCTCCCGGGCCGACTATAGCCGTTGCTACTGGCTTCGAAGAAGCCACGCCGCCGACACCAGCGATAGCGAGTCCTAAAATATGACAGGCAATCAATTTACCGATGGTAGGAATAGAAATTACATTGAGACTGCTAAATTATTTGCTGATGAAAGTACAATTTATATGTAAAATCTCTGTCTTCATTCAATACCTATTTTATTTATTATAGAATATTGAATACAAGCTAATTCAGATTTTTTTAAAATAACGTGAAGTATTTATATAATATATGACTATTGTGAAATTCGCTTTGTGACTAATTGCTAGAACTTATGGTGCAAATAATTTGATAAAACAGATTTTTAAAACACTGCATTTTCGAAAGTTTTAGTATTTAAGAAAATCTTGTTTTTTTTTGTAAATTTGAATTTTCTAAAGATTTTATATCCTGTTTTTTTCTATCTTTAACAAGTTAACTGTGAGGGCTCTCACCGTTCTCATATTCACCGTTATGTATGTCTTAACAGATGCCTTAAAAAATATTAAAATAAATATAGAATTTAGAATCTAATAAAAAACATACGATTAATACACCACAACAAACTAATTTCAACATTTTAATCTCTCCAACTAAAAATAAACTAATTTTCAGTTTCGCTTAAATATTAAAAACACGTGCAAACACGCAAAATGGATCAAATAAGTGTTCAATGTAAATCTTATAAGAATTGTCAAAACTATCAATATTATTATACTATATAAAGTGTAAAATCTGTATATACCTATCGGATAGCCAAAGCAATAAAACTCTATAAAATGCATTTTGAAATTCATATCACCCTAATCATATATTTAAAGAAATATTTTCCTCTTTTTTACACTTATTGCATACATTTTCTTTTGACTTACCCACGGGTTTAGCTTCAGCAACTGATGCATCATCTGGAGGACTATTTACATGTACACTATCATCGCTGTTTTCATCAGTATCATGTTCTTTGTGATTTCTGTTAGGATGCTTTACCGTTTCATCAGAATCCATCAGATTGGATTCTCCAGCGAGTTTCGTTGCGCTTATTTCTGCATTGACCAATTTCTGAGCAGAATTACCAATTACTTCTAAATTTTCTGCATAAATCTTCTGTTGTTCATCAGATAAATAGCCAGAATGCTTCACCTTTTGCTGTAAATCTACTAATTTTTTAGCTGATAACTGAATAGAGTTAAGGTTTTGAGCAAAATTATATTTATCTTTTTCGACCGCCGAAGGCAGAAGAGAATTCACGCGTATTGGTAAATGTGGCCTATAGTCATTCAATTCTAAGTTGTCTACATTTTGTTGCTTGACGATTTCACTTATAACAGATCCATCAGGCGAAGTTTTTATTTGTAGAACTTGACCTTTAGCACCTCCATAATAAGATAGTTCTATCACATCGTCAGCTCCTCTATGCTCCGGTCTGCAAAAAAATAATATTTTAAAGTTTTAATTTTATGCTTCGGTATTCCGTAAATTACCTACCTTTCTAAAATTATAGATGCCATATAGAACTGAATACTGATAAAATTAACATTGAGATTCAATTGAAATAATGATATAATAATGTCCGTAATTAAATTTAGCTTATATAGAATAAATTAAAAAAAAACTGAAATATCTGTAAAACAATTTATTTCTATTTGTACAAAGAACTTATATACATACAAAATTATATCACAATTTGTAATACTAATTATTTGGTTAAAGAACTAAAATAAAACAAGTGAAAAAGTAAATTATTCTAATAATTAAACACCTACAAAATAAAAAAAAATGCTCCAAATCTAGCTCCTAATCCAATTTAAATTTAGTTCTATGTGTTCTGAGTTCTATTCATCAATATAATCAATGTCAAGATCAGATTCAGCGTGCGCTATACCTCCTGGTCCGACAATTGCAACTGAACTAGGCCTAAATTGAATTCTAGTATTATGACCCTGTTTCAAAAATGCTCTTGATATAGGCATCGCTATTGCCTTGCCGTAAGGACCAGCTACTGAAGTAGCAGAAGGTTCCAAAATAAGATCAATAAAAGCATCATTTCTTATGTTAGGATTCAAAACTAATTGTTCAGATGGTCTTTTCACGATATTACTTCTCGAGTCGTCAGTCAAACCTTTTATCATCATAGTAGTAATCAATTTCTGATTCAAATTTCTGTTGGCATTGGATGAATTATTATTTATTAGTTGATTCGTCATTTCAGAAAATTTTTTCTTTGATATATTTTCCTTCATATTTATATTTCCCATTTGCATTAAATATTCTGGTATAGTTGGCATATCTGGTGCATCAGATTTGCTATTGTAGTGTTCGATTTTATTCTCAACTCGTTGCATTGGATGCATTAACAAATCATAATAGGGTTGCAGTAATATTTCGGTTTGAAAATTGGATGAATCATGTTGGTTCTGTTTATAAAATTTATACACGGGAGTACGAGCAAAAGTCGGAAGCCATTTTTTGATATCCCAATAGTACGAAAATCTGTCAACAGATATTAATTATTTATAAAACTGTAAACATGTGATTATTCATTCATTTCATCTACTTAATACCTAATGCCTTCGAATTCATGCGGCCATGCATCATTCACATTGAAATTATTTTTTTGTTATATGTATTTTATAGTCCAAACAATAATCTGTTATTTATCCAATTTTCTAATGCTTGTTTGTTAAATTTATATAGTAATAACATACATGCAGAAAAATGTTAACATATCTTATAAATATTACTACTTCTCAATCCGGGAAGTATTTTAAATAAGGTGAAACATAAATAAAACTTAACTCTTAAATTATAACAATAAATAGAATCACCAGTCTCTATTTCTAAATACGATAGTGTTTTCTAGACATTGTCATCCTTGTTGTAATAAATAATTGGTCCGAGAGCTACGATACGCGCACCTTCAGGAATGGGAAAGTCGCCAGCATTACTTCTGCCTTGAGCCAAAGTGTCAACATTCTTGAAGAATTCATGTAAGTTTGTCGAACTGGGGACGGAAATGACACGTGCCCCGGGTCCGGCAACAGCAAGACCGTTAGGTTTTGTGTAGGCTAAACCTCCGGGTCCCACAATAGCTGTTCCGCCGCTCCCTGCGGTTGCAACGCCATTCGGGCCAGCTATAGCAATACCGCCCTTTCGAATTTTTAACTTATTGATGTAAATACCATCATTGTTGAGCACGGGCGGTGGAGCAGGAGTGGTTCTTTCAAATGGATTACTGATTCGCAATTCAGGAAGCTCATTATATTTATAACCGTGTTGGCTATGCCCATCGGAACGATAATTTGCCGCAGGCCCATTTAGAGATATGTTCTCCATAATAATATCAGCATCTACCTCTTCCGTATCCATTTCGGCATTGAATTTATCATTTAATCTCTTTCCCGAGATATCGTGTCTGAGCATCTTCGAATTTGCTTTCGGTTTGTTTGCCTGATCGAATTTCATTCCCCTGCTAATTCTGTCCAACACATCACTTTGTTGCGACGGACTCTCACCACAACAATCATTTGGATTAAAACCTGCAAGATTCTCAAAATCGCTTGGTAAATCCAAAATTTGATCATCGCTAATGAATGGACTATAGTAAATCAAAGGCAATTTCATACGTCGTTTTGTTGTAATTTTGTTATTCGAAATCACACCTTGAGGCAAGAGTCCGCTGTTAAACTGTGATAATTTGTTCCTCATTAAGTGATGAATATTGTATACAGTGTTGTCCATGTCAAAATGTTGAAGATTATTAATTTGGGACTTCTTATTGTCTGATTTAAATATATTGGTAATTTGTGGTTCAGGAAGAGCTTGCTTATTTAGTAAACGATTAATTAAAGGGCTAATGAGTATAACATGTTCAGGTGAAATCTCGCTTCTTGTGCTTATCACTTTATCATGCGGTATCAATTCTAAGTCGCCTTCTCTAGAACTTCCACCTACCGTATCTGGCAAAGCAGAAACTACGACATCAGTAACACTCATTGCGTTCACGTATGTTTTAGCATTGTTATTCTTTTCCTCATTTTTTTGCTCATTCGTTTCCATATTTTTTTGTTCATTCAAAATGAAATTTTTAACTATTTCATCCATCACATGGGCATCGTTTTGCTGTTGTTCAGAATTCACAAGCTCATCGGGCAACTCAATTATTATCTGCTTTTCAATTCTGTAACAATACAGAAAAAGTTTTTTTGATTCTGAATTATTGAATAACTATATTATGTTCTTAAAATTATTTTTGTATTATTTACAAAAAAATGATTAACATGTATGTATGAGTAAAATTTGGAATAGTCTAAAAATGTCTTACCTTCATCAAATAACGTCTTCACATTGTCTTCAAGAGTATTCTTTTTACACAACACAATGTTCTATATAAATTCAACAAATAAACACTAATGAATACATATGTTTGAATATTATGTACTGATATTGTTATAGGTATTAATAAGATAAGCATGAACAATTATTAGAATGTTAAAACATGGTTAAAGCGTATCACAGACAATTTGTTACAGGTGTAAATAAGCTATAAGTATTATAATTCTGTGTTTTCATGTAAAAATAAATTATTTACAACTTTTAGTAATAGCTCTATTCTATATGTATTAATATATTTAATATTTGAAAAGTACTTACTGTAAAGATGTTGGAGGTCTGCATTGCACCGAATTTGAAAAGTAAACAACGCAAACGCACTGAAATAAATTAATTTTTATATTACTAAAAAATACTTCACTATACATACACATAAATATAATGTATTATGCGCATTCTACATACTAATAAAACTATAATATCAGTTTTTTTCTAGTAATTTGATGATGTATATTTAACATAAATTGTAAAAAAAGAAGAATGAACAAAATAACTGCATGTAAAAAAGTAGCATTAGAAATGTTTATACATAGAAATATTTATAGTAAAAATTAGATATGCAGCCAAATAAGATGATCTAAAATTATTTTTTTTTTGATTAACTAAGCGTAAGAAATAATAATATGTATAGATAAATAATGTTTCATATTAATAAATAGGTACTATTATTCTTAATTTAATCATTTTAAATTATTTTATGACTAAAGTTAAAATCACAAACGAATAGCAAGCAAACTTCACTTAATTTTTATAATTTGTCGTAGGCCTATAATATTATACACATAGTTTTGTTTATAATTTCCAGTGATCATATAAATATTAGACAAAGAAATAATTATGATCTTTAAAAAAATTGTAGGCACTATAACATCTTCACCATTATTTATAAATTCTATTTTTTAATAAATAGTTTAGCAAGGCATACGCAGCTGTTTCAAGCTTCATAAAAAAAATTGGCAAATGCTTTGAAGTCATAAATCTTGCGTATGTACATTTTATTTGGTTAATAAATATAAATTGTTGTTGTTGAAGTATAATATAAATACTAAATAAGGATTTGTTTGTTAATTGTTTCGCTATGTCCATCATATATTTTAACTAATACTATGTAGATTTTTTTTGTTACTTCTTTACTTAAACAAGAAGACATATTAATAACGGTTAATGATTTCATATTCTTATTACTTTACATTGGCTTAGCACGTACCAAATAACGAATTTTTAGGGTTGCTCTCGATATCGATATTTTACAAAACCGTAACAAATGGAATGAATCCAGCGTTTTCGACAATACTTACGAGTCATGTATAATACATTAATTCAAAGACCGTTATTGTACTCTTATATAATTCTCCACGGAATTCAGTGGTGACAATGACCTTATAGTCGATGCTTTGGCAAAACTTTCGATACATGTGTAAGTAAGAACTGTAAGTGCACCAATTGGACACTAGCGATGGCTAAGTAAATGCGTTTGAAACAGGTGCAAGCAACCTGCTAATAGCAAAATTAACTCATTAACTGTATGTTTTAGCCATATATGTACTAATGCATATTATGAGTTCAATTAAGACCATTTCAAATCTTGTCGATGATAACAATTTTAGGTATATCTTAACGTTCAAAATATACCATCACATTTCGAATTTTTTGCCTCATGTTTAATAATAATCTATTTTAAGGGTTTTAACAAGAAAGTTTGTGTTCATTATATTATATATATATATATATATATATATATATATATATTGAACAAAGTTTAGGTTATAATAATCAAAGTTTTGTATGGAAATAGCATGGAAAAATTTTCAAAAATTTTAAAAATGTTTTTTTAGATGTGATTTAGCGAACAAATGAATGAATTAAACTCATTCATTTGTCGCTAAGTTATACCTAAAACATTTTTTTTTAAATTTTCAAAAAATTTTCCATGCTCTTTCCATACGAAGTTTGATTGAATTGCGCTCTATCTAAACGATAATATTAAGAGCTAAAACATTCAGATAATTGTTTTTTATCAATTTGGAACCATTTGAGCCCCTGGGAGCAAGGAAATTCGAAAATGACCATATTAAGGACCACCCTAATATATAAATATATATATATATATATATATATATATATATATATATATTATATACAGCAATTAAAACTTAAGAAGCTTACTTCAGAAGTCAACGGTTTGTCTGTCTATATTTGATATATTTTTATTATTATAATTACTTTGATAGTGATGACTTTAAATTTGATGCCAAAGAATCGCAATTTTTATTTGAAAACATATTTCCATCTACTTGGTACTTCCAAGCGAAAACCAAAGTCACTACTGCTGAACATCAGAAAGTCCGAGGTGGTAATCAAACCTAGAACGTAATCGTAATCAAACCTAGAAAGCCAGCTCCAACTAGTTACCCACATACCCACGGAAAATCCCAAAATTTTTTTAGAAATGTATTTAACTATAATATAATATATAATAAAATTTTATTAATTAAGTAATAGCAGTAAATCATAATTGATAATTTTGATTTTCATAAAAATAATTGTTATTTTTTTAATATTTGTAAAGATTTACCATCGCATATTGAATGAAATGTAAATCTTATCGTTTGTTGCTTATAATTATTAATAATTAACTTTGAAAATAATTGTAGTTTATAAATGCTTTTTATAATATTTTTATAGAAAATCAACGATCTGTTACAAAAATCCTTCATACTATTGTGCATATATATAAATCTCTCTCACACTATTCTTTCCTAATTCGAGTTGGAGTTTAACTCAACGCACGGACCTGCCCTAGGACAGTACTACTCACAATATATATATATATATATATATATATATATATATATATTCATCATAATAAGTATTGTATTTAATTAGGATTTCAAAATTAACATGACTAACCATCGTCCTGCTACTAAATCGTCATAATGATCTTTTTTACTTTACTTCAAACAAGTGCTATGCCCGTCCAATAGTTTTACTATACTCAAAGCGAAGCAAAAGGGTGATAAAACCCAGACGTGCAGGATTCTTTACAGCACGCCTATAAAAGGTTGCCGACCTCAGACGACGCCGGGAGTAGCGTCGCGAGGATAAAGAACAGTTACAAACAGGTAAGTCTATAATTGCGAGAGATTTGGAACGTCGAAGTGTTAATCAACAAACCATTTGCGCCGTCAATCAATAAAGATGTGTTTATTAGATTTGTGAGGTCAGAAGTGTCCTATTGTGTTTGAATTCCGTTTTAAAAAGCCTGTTAACTATTCTATCTTAGCCTGTTAATATTTTTTTGTTATTGAAATCTGTACACCAGACAGCATATATGTATATATAATACAATAGTACCCCGCGAAGACGATCATGCTTAATACGATTTTTACCATATTTTGGCACTTGACGCAGGTCCCTGCGTTATAAAACCCGCATTCCACATTCTCGCATAAGTCGCGTTTTTGGTCACGTCCCCTGAAAAACGTCTTAACGAAGTTTTACTGTATATATATATATATACATATATATATAAATATATATATATGTATATATAATATATATATATATATATATATATATATATATATATACGGCTAGTTAGTTAGCTAACGTTAGTATGGCAGATTTTTTGTTGCAATTTAATGCCAGGTATATCATGTTTTTTTCTAGTCTATGTTTACCCGATTGCCTCTAGATAATTTGCAAACATTTGCATTTATCTGAGAAAAATAATATTAGATATATGTTTGCAAGTTACTGCTGAAAGCTACAAAAAAATACTCAACAGAGATGAAAAAAATCATTGCAGAAATCCGTTGCGAATTATAAGATTTCAATTACCACGTAGAAAAATATCAAGGCCGGAGATTTTGTCATTTTTTTTAAATTTTTCTCCGTTTTTTACAGTTTAACCCCCAATTTTGCTTTAGATTTTGCGGAGTTCAGCGGTAAAAAATATATTAGAAAACATGTTTTGCACACTCAATATAGACAACCTTTTTTATTTTCTGAACCTTTGCAATCAATTCGAATGCTTAATAGATCCGTATCAGATAGTTTTGTTCGGAATAAGCGTTTTAGTTTGATTTCTATGCCAGCTTAACTTTTAGAAACAAGGTTATGAATACAACCACACTTGATACTAGACATGTAAACACTATTAACCCTTTCGCTACGAAAGTGTTTTCCGCAGGAGTGCCGCTGCTGTACGGAACAGAAAATAAAAATGTGCTGAATAATTAAAAATTGGGCTTCTAATAAACAAACATTACAATAAAAGTTAGAATTACTGATAGTTTAACTCATATTAAAGCAAAGACTGACAGAGAATATATCGTCCACGGACGACACTTGTATTGTCGAGTGGATGTCGTTTAAGGACGACACTCGTATCAAAACAGTTGAACACGAATTCACTATACGGTACAAATTAATATGCAGTATTTCAGAAATATCTAATTGATTTAATTGCTATTAAAGCAACAAAACAATTAGGCAGTGTTCAAGTAATTTTAAGGTGTATTTATTTCTATTTGCTCAAAATAATTATTAGGCGTAATAACATGCGTAGACAAATACAAATGTTTGTGAAAATGCTTGGATAATGATGTATGGAACACTCTGCCATTTTATAAATCTAAAATACCCTTTGGTTAATTGTAAAATATAAATTTTTTAAATGGGCCAATTAAAAATAAATTATTTTTGATAATATTCACAATTCAAAAATAATCATTTCTATTTTTAATAAAATGTATTCTATAATCATAGGCAACTATAATATGACCCATGTATAAAAAATTAATTGTCAAGCGTTTTGGAATCAACCTATTTTAACAAATTAAATTTAGTTTTGAAAGTGCTGTCCCACAAAAGTTTTGTTTAATATATGATACATGTTACGAACATTATTTATTTTTCATGGAATCAAACACCGGTTACACTGCATCATTATATATTCAACTATTAGCGCTTATTACGATCTGAAATGACCGCAATACGATAAGAAAGAGGTGAGATAAGAAACATCAATAGTTTCATATTAATTAAAACTTTACATGACGTATTATTCATAGTTAAATGAAATTAATGTACTATGCACAAGTTATTCATTAACTTAACAAACCCTTCCCCATTAACAATGAAAAATTTGAATGAGTGATTTTCCAAATACATTGAAATTATTATGATATTTTCTATTTTATTAAAATCAGAGATCATTTTATTTAGATAAAATTAGACATGTTGATAGTTCTAAACAATTATAAATATAACATTAAGAAACTAAGACAAATCATTATCCTAAAAATCAACCTTAGTT